TTGGAAATTAAGAAGCAACTGATTACACTGAACCCCTGTTGGTGATATTTAATTGCATTTTAGTTCAAGTGATATAGAGCAGGATCGGGTGATCCAGCTCTGTTCAAAACTCACTTATTACCCAAATAATTTCATGCACAGGGTTTTGAATACTGGTCACTTGTGTTTTCAATATGACTCTTTGTGAACTTTGGTAAATATGTTTTTCTAATTTAGTCATTTGAGTTTTTCCTTCATGTCTATTAAATTATTTATATTATAAACAGAATAACTAACAGTGCTACATGATGAAATGTGTTTGAAATGAGCAAAGTGGTTGGTTTAAGACCGAACCCCCTTTTTTTTTTTTCTCTAATCTTCTTGCCAGTAAATTATTTTCCATATTTTTTTTTTCTGTCTAAGAAGTGTCAAAAACCATCAACTGTTCAGACGTGTGTTTTTGTATGTTTCTAGGAGCAAAGGAGAAACAGGATGAGGGAGATGCCCGCTGCAGTTCCCAGGGATAAGGTAAAAGAGAGCGACTGTGTTGTCAAATATAACCGTAGCTCATGTGTTGTAACATTTGGTCGCAGGCTGCAGAGTCCCAGTATAAAGGAGACTTGTGTGGCGTTAATCACTCGGAGCACTGCTGAATGATGATCCGTGAAGCAAATGCTTCGGATAGTTTCCATCAAGGAATTTTATCCCACATCTCTTCTCTCCTCTTGCCTCAGCTTACGACAGCCAGCCTCCTTTTCTTCTGTCTTTCCACATTTCTTCTCAGTGCTTTCTTTTTCCTTCCTCTCCCCCATTCCTGCTCTCGTATTCATGCTAGTCTGTTGGCAAAGGCCCGGCCGGCCCAACTGCGGTGTCTGGCGAGCCCCCTGCGTCTGGAGCAGAGATGGACGGTGCCAAGGTGGGCACACATGCAGCCTGCTGGCTCTGTGCCTGGCTGGCTGCGGGGCTGCTGGTAGCGATGGATGGATGATGGGCATGGTCTGCTGGCATGCACTCTGATCTTTGTCTGCTAATGGCGTGCTCTTATTTTGCTTTCCCTCAGCCTGTGTGGACTTGCACTGACAACTATTGTGTTCCCTGAAGTCTGTTGAACCCAAAGTTTGTCTAACAGAAAAAAAAAAGATTTCTTTCTCTTTCCCTTTCTAACCTCTTAATACTGTATGTGCAGTCTTTTGTTTTTAGATTCCAGACATTTTGAGGTAGAGAATAATCCTACCTCTGCGTACCATCTAATTAATCCTCCTTTCTTTTCTTTTTCTTTTTCTGTAAGCTATGCTAACAGTTCATGTTCCTCAGGGAATAAAGCGTGCTGACTTTGGTGACCCCTTGACTTTTCCTCTTACTTAGTTTGTGACGTGGCTGGGTTCCCCCTTCATCTTAATTGTAGCAGTGTTGAAATTGCTTCACTTTTTCCAAGCATCCCCCTTAGGTGTGCTTTGTTTTTAATCTTAATAAGCATGCTAACCTGCTTTGATAGTGTTGCCATTGATGTCTGAAGTTAACATTTGGCATGGCTTTTGTCATGTTTTCTCTCTAACTTGTTCATTAACAGCACAAAGACATAAACTTTAATTTGATTAATCCGGTCTCTTTTTTTTTTTTTTAACATGCCTGTTTTGTGTTAGCAGTGCATATGAGTCCTACTTTAACCATCACTTTCTGCAAATGTCATACTGTAATGATATTAAGGGTTCTAGATAGTGGAAAAGCATTTTTATCATTCTTTTTTTTTTTTTTTTTTTTTTTTCCCAGGCCCCACCTGCAGGGATTCAGGGGGAGCAGGACGGCACAGGAAGCTGGAGGGGCATGCTGAAGAAAGGGGAGGAAGCCCCAGGCTCAGGACCCGGAAGCCCACTTAAAGGAGCGGTCAACCTACTAGATGTGGTAACTTAACACTGGCCTTCCAGCGTGGCTCGTATTAAACATGACAGTCTATTGAGGGATTAAAACACTAGCCTTCCCTTCTTTCTTCCCTTTTGCAGCCTGTGCCTGTTGCCAGGAAGCTGTCGTCACGCGAGCAGCGGGACTGTGAGGTCATCGAGCGCCTCATCAAGTCTTACTTCCTCATCGTCCGCAAGAACATCCAGGACAGGTAGGCCCTCCCACCTGCTCCTCTTTTGTTTATTGCCATCAAATCCTACATAAAGAGACCAAAAACCAACACTAAGATAGATCTGCTAACACAGTGTGTGCAGCTGAAGCCTCATTTCTAGTATTCCCCTTGTCTGCTCGAGCGCCATTGTTGTCCAGAAATCAGAATTTAAAATGCATCAGCGAGCCGCTTTGTTGGATCATTTTTATTAGCAACCAGAGGCACTGTACCTTATTTTCACTAAATCTCTCACATATAATATCTCTGCCTCTTTAAATGCTCAGTAGTGCGCCAAATGAGCAGTAATCTGTTTGTGAATAGTCCAGTAAATGGATTTTAAAAAAGTCTTGTCTGAGTAAAATTTATACATTCACTTCTAGAAAACTAATGAGCCTTTTAAAATAAAATGAAATTATATACAGACATTGGTGATGGGAAATTGCGGTTCCCCCACTATACTGAGGTGATCCGGTGGTAACCCCACAGCTGCATGTGACACTATCCACTCTGCCATAGCTCGGCTACAGACTCAGCACCCGAGTGCCTTTATTGTGATCTCGGGTGACTTCAACCATGTATCACTGGACAATACACTACCAACATTCAAACAATATGTGGACTGTCCCACCAGGGGAGAGAAAACTTTAGACTTACTGTATGCTAACGTCAAGGATGCATACAGCTCCTCCTCCCTCCCCCCACTTGGTAGGTCAGATCATAACCTGATTCACCTCACCCCCCGCTATGTGCCAATTGTGAGGAGGGAACCTGTGACCACCAGGACTGTTAGGAGGTGGTCAGAGGAGGCAATAGCGGAACTACAGGGCTGTTTCGAGGTGACCGACTGGGAAACACTCTGTGAGCCTCACGCCGAGTGTATATCAATGGGCTTACTGAGTGTATCACAGACTACATAACTTTCTGCACCGACTCCATTGTTCCAGCTCAGACTGTTCATTGTTACCCAAATAACAAGCCGTGGGTGACTAAGGACATCAAAGCCCTCCTCAACAACAAGAAGAGGGCTTTCAGAGGGGGCAACAAAGAGGAGGTGAGGAAGGTCCAGGTGTTACTAAAGGACAAGATCAGAGAGGCTAAGGACAATTACAGGAGGAAGCTGGAGTGGAAACTCCAGCAGAACAGCATGAGAGAGGTGTGGAGGGGCATGAAGACCATCACTGGATTCAGGCCAACCAACAGCAGGGGAGCTGAGGGAGGTGAGAATAGAGCCGACGAGTTGAATCTGTTTTTCAATAGATTCGACACCACAGTGTCTGCTCCCACCCCCACAACCTCACCTGCAGTCAGCCTGGAATCCAGAGCCACACCACTGTGCCAGCCTCTCTCTTCACATGTTGCCTCCTGTGAGATTCCTGACACCCCTCCCCCACCCATCACCTTCACTCAATACCAGGTTGAGATGCAATGAGGAGACTTCACTCAGGCAAGTCTGCTGGACCAGACGGAGTGAGTCCCCTTGTCCTCAAGGCCTGTGCCCCCCAGCTGTGTGGAGTCTTTCATAAACTGTTTATGCTGAGTCTGAGTCTGCAGAGGGTCCCGGTGATGTGGAAGACATCATGCCTCGTCCCTGTACCAAAGACGCCACGTCCCAGTGGCCCCCAGGATTACAGGCCCGTGGCATTGACCTCCCACATCATGAAGACCCTGGAAAGGCTCATCCTGGACCAGCTGCGACCCATAGTAAGACCACATCTGGATCCCCTTCAGTTCGCTTATCAGCCTCGTCTCGGAACAGAGGACGCCATCATCTACCTGCTCAATCGTGTCTACACCCATCTGGACCAGCCGGCGAGCACTGTGAGGGTCATGTTTTTTGACTTTTCCAGTGCTTTCAACACCATCAGGCCGACCCTCCTGGGTGATAAGTTAGCAGCGATGCAGGTGGATGCTTCTCTGGTGTCCTGGATTGTTGATTACCTGACAGGAAGACCACAATATGTACGTCTCCCACAGTGTGTGTCTGACAAGGTGATTAGCAACACAGGGGCACCACAGGGGACTGTCCTCTCCCCCTTCCTCTTCACCCTCTACACCACAGACTTCAGCCACTGCACAGAGACCTGCCATCTTCAGAAGTTTTCTGATGACTCTGCGGTGGTTGGATGCATCAGCAGGGATAATGAGACAGAGTACCGGGCTGTGGTCGACTCCTTTGTCACGTGGTGTGAGCAGAATCATCTGCAGCTCAACGTGGCAAAGACCAAGGAACTGATCGTGGACTTCAGGAAGACCAGGAAACACTTGACCCCTGTTTCAATCCAGGGGGTCAGTGTTGACATTGTGGAGGACTATAAATACCTTGGAGTACACATTGACAATAAACTGGACTGGGCTAAAAACACCACAGCACTTTACAGGAAGGGCCAGAGTCGTCTCTATTTTTTGAGGCGACTGAGGTCCTTCAACATCTGCCAGAAAATGCTGAGGATTTTCTATGAGTCTGTGGTGGCCAGTGCGATCCTCTATGCTGTTGCATGCTGGGGGAGCAGGCTGAGGGTCGCAGATGCCAACAGACTTAATAAACTGATCCGTAAGGCCAGCAATGTTGTGGGGATGGAGCTGGACTCCCTCAAGGTGGTGTCGGAGAGGCGGATGCTGTCCAAGATAAAGACAATGTTGGATAACACCTCCCACCCACTCCATGACATGTTGGTCAGCCACAGGAGCTCGTTCAGTGAGAGACTGAGATTACCGAAAAGCACCACTGAACGACACAGGAAATCATTCCTGCCTGTGGCCATCTCCCTGTACAACGCATCCACTTAACACACTGTTTGCTGCTACAACTACACATGTTTCTTTTCCAAATATTTATTTATAAGTGACTTATGTATGTATGTATGTATATATATGTATATATTGTACTATTCTTAGTTAGCGTATTGTCTGTCTTGTCTTAATGTTGGTTTAAAATGGAGCACTGTAACAAAAAATAATTTCCCCCAGGGATCAATAAAGTATTCTGATTCTGATTCTGATTCTGGTTCTGCTGATTTTGTGCATGCTTTGTCCCTAGGAGGGAAAGGTCGCTACAAATCAGTTGTTCTGAGTGATCACTGTCATCCTGTGATGAAACATTTCTAATCTCTGGGATCAGGCTGTAAACGCACCCCCGTCCACAGGGCACAAGGTGGGGGTCACTGAATGGTTTATGAGGATGAAAATTATGTAAATCATACGCCTTTGCACACACCAAACTTGAGCAGCTGTGAGAATTTTAAGAAAGAAGTGTTTTGCTAATGTTTTTATGTGACGTCTGTATTGGCGGCCTGTTTCTACACATTAATTTCAGTAGACACAGTGGAAATTTGGAAAGCACAGCGACCGACACTACAGGACATGTTGTAAACACCGTCCTTTAAAATGCCTCCCTTTCCTCTTGGGAGCAGAAAGTGCCCTTTAAAGCTCAGGAAGATTAAATCCATCATATTTAGCTCCTGCTTAAACAGCTCAGTCCTCGGACAGGCATGGCCACCTGGCGGTTCAAAGTCGAGCCACCTCCGTCTGGGGAAACGACGCCATCGCCGGGCCATCTTGCCGCCTTGTTCTCAACCATCTGTTCGGTCTGTTTCCTCTTTCTCTCTCTGCGGCAGCGTGCCAAAGGCAGTGATGCACTTCCTGGTCAACCATGTGAAGGACAGCCTCCAGAGCGAGCTCGTTGGCCAGCTGTATAAATCTGGCCTTCTCAACGACCTGCTGACCGAGTCTGAAGACATGGCCCAGCGGCGTAAGGAAGCCGCTGACATGCTACAGGTAACAGGTTCCTACGTTTGAGCAGTGCTCAAGTTTTCTCCAGTGTACAGTCGCTTCAATACTTGTTCACATTTGTCCACAGGCGTTGCAGAGGGCCAGTCAGGTGATAGCAGAGATCAGGGAAACACATCTGTGGTGAAGGAGAGGGGGGGGAAAAAAAAACGCATCCCAGGCTGTTACCTCCTCGTCACACCCAAAGGACCGATGCTCCACGCATTCATCATGTCTGAACTTGAAGTTTTAGATTTGCTACCATGAAAATATTCTGATCTCTGCTTCGGTGTACAGAGCTACTTGAAAGGAGCGAAACTCGTGTTGTTCACTAAAAAAGTGTAGTGTTGTCTGGAGCATGTGAAAATGCACTGCCTCTGTTTGCTAACGGTAAAATGTCGCCACCCACGACTCCAGGAGGAACTGAGAGTGCCGCTAAAGGCAGTGCACTTTTCGTTTTCGCCAAAGTGTGGTTAACCAGTATGGAGATGGACATTTGTGCGATGCTGAAATCAAAGTTTTTGAATCCATTTTTTGGCAACTCAGCAAAGCATTTAATATTTTGGTTCCAAGTTATAAACTCAAAAAAAGAAAAGTAATGTATTTAAAATATTCAGCTCCTAATTCGCAGCCTTTTCATTTAAGAGTAGCTGTCACATGTCCGAAACCATCAAACCTCCATCTTAATCTTTGCACTATTATAACTGCACTGTACTGTAAAGCAAGTCCATTAACCTGACACTGTATTGCCATCAGAGTCTTTATTTATTACTGTGTTATTTAAATGTGTGGATAATTTCCAGAGCACCGTAGCAGGACGTCATTTAATTAAGTTTACATATCGCTGCCTATGTGTAAAGAAAATTCATGGTGCACTGTGGTTCTGTGTGTGGTTCCCAAAAGAAAAAAAATAAATAAAAAGTGGTATTTTACTGCCAGTTAATTGGTTTGAATTCATATGTGCAAAGAGTGAGGATTAGTGAAAAGAAAAGAGTGCTTCATTTCTGAGATAATTTAACATGAAAACACACAAATGGGCATAAAAGCACAAGTCTGTTTATTGTTTGTAAAGGCTAAGGGCTAAAAGGCACAAAACTGAGATTACTGAAGTGCAGATTGAGAACAAATTCCAACACGGGCACTCGTGGTGAGATGGCTCCTCTGAGAATATATGTCGACGTTTCCATCTATCTCACTCTGCCCTTGGCCTTTCCTCTCCCTTTGGCGCTGTGAAGTCAGACAAAAATATTCAACTGTTCAGCATGTGTGCATAGATGAATATTTTTAAGTTAAACTGCATAGTTTACACCTATTTGAACCTCCGTACGGCATTTTTCCTGCTATGGAAAGCATTAAAATTAAAACAAATAAGCTACTGAAGTTGTAATCATGAATAAATATGAACCAATTTACTGATCTTAAATCAAAAAAATAAGCAGTATTTAATAGAGGTGTGAATAGACACTAGATTTAAAAAAAAAAAAAAAGACTTGATAACGATAAGCCGGATTTGGAGAAAATAAACAATGTTTAACTATTTAATGCTTATCTTCCTTCACCTGCTTGCAGTTATGATTATTTCATAATGTCTTTTAATAGTACCCAGGGAGTAATTCTGTAGTTTGCTGGCATACATGGAAACATTATTTTCAAGAAGCAAAAAGCTAGCTAAAAAGATAGCTAAAAAGATAGCTAATAGCTATTTTAACCTTTTAGCTAATGATGTAAAAAACACATTTAAAGTACATGTAGCAACATTAATGTATGGATAAAGTGGAATTGTTAGCTGACAATGCAAACTAGCTGGAAACATAGTCCAGTGAAAACGTTTTCAGAGCAGGGGCGGATCTAGAGAAATTTGGTTAGGGTGGCATGGAAATCAAACGGGGTGGCAAAATCAAAGCCATTTCTTTACACATTCAGGCGTTACATTCTGTAATATGTACTATATGTGGTTAAAACTGTGTTTTCCAACCTTTTGCAGCCATGTATTTCACATATTTTGCATCAGACAAATCACACAGCACACCACCGAACAAAAATGTCACAAAAAGCATATTGATAATTTTTCCCCGCGCACCAGGCATAGCGAAATTGGTTTGGTTTGTTTACCTTTTTTGCTTTCTTCTGACCACAACTCATCCTAGGGCCTTTTTCTGGGTGGGAATTTTCTCCAGGACCCAGGCCAGATTGACTACTTTTTTCCTTTTCAAATATTTATCTATTGCTATTACGCGCTGTGTCGTCTCACAGCATGACTATTATGGATTTTCTTCTTTGTTTTCTTCTGTTTTACTGGCAGTTGGCAACTCATTTAATTACAGCAGGTAGTTGTACTGCCCTATAGCGAAGGAGAATGTAATTGTTCTGATCGCTACTCATGCTGGTTGCTTAGAGTATTTATCAGGTGGAACCAGATAATCTTCCACGGCACACCTATGTGCCGAGGCACAGTGGCTGGGAAACAAGGTTAAATTACATCAAATGCAACACATTTACATATGTTACACATTTCATATAAACATTGTAACTTTCTTATTATCTTTAGCCCAAAATATTTACATATTTCAGTAACATAAAGAAATTTTAATTTTAATTTTATGTAGTGTATAGCCTTTATAATAAATAACCATGTAGCCCAATTGTAAGTATAAAATCCAGAAAGCTACACAACAAGAGGTGGATCAGTTAGAAATACAAGTCTAACTTTTTATGTTTCACAATCTTTTTGCTATTTATTTTTTAGTGGGGTGGGCACCTTATGCACATGCCACCACAGTTAATCCGCCCCTGTTTCACAGGACTTTACGCCCTTACTACCTTTACTGTGTTTACAGTTTTTAGAAGGCAAGTAGCATGACTTATTTATTCATTATTCATAACCATTTATTACTTCAATACCATTTATTACTTGCACAGCTGCTCTTATTGTTCTATATTTCTTCATATATTCTTTATATATTTTCTATATTGTGTATTTTGTTACAGTTATTTTATTTTTAACTTTAATTTTTATATTTTATTTTATTCTTTCCTAGTTAAATTTGCCCTTTATTTTAATTTTCATATTTATTTCCTATCCATAGTCTTTTAGTTTAGGTCACGAGTAGTTGTCTAAGCATTTCACTGCATATCGTACTGTGTATGACTGTGTATGTGACAAATAACATTTGCATTTGAATTTAGACAGGTTTCCAGGAGAAAGCTGCTTCTCTTTAAAAAAGAGCATAACAGCACAGCTTAGATTTGCAAAGGTGCATCGGAACAAACCACAAAACCTGTGGAAAAATGTCCTTTGGACAAACAGTGAAGAGTTTTGCCCATAATGCACAGCACAGAAAACGAAAAAGCAGAAAAATAGCACAAACACCTCATACCAGCTGTCAGATGTGAGGCCATTGTGTGAGGCAAGCTAAAGTTTGGCCCAAACTGAGTAACAGAACAGGACAGTGATCCCAAACACAGCAGCAAATCTACCACAGAATGGCTGAAAAATAAAAGAATCATGTCGCAATAGCCCACGCCAAGTCCAGACCTCAACCTGAGTGAAATGCTGTGGCAGGACCTTGAGAGAGCTATGCATAAATGAATGCCTGCAAACCTCCATGAACTGAAGCACACTGTGGGTGGGCAAAAGTTTCTCCAGAACGATGTGAGAGTCTGATAAAGCCAAACAGAAAAAGGACTTCAAGTGGCTGCTACCAAAAGTGTTTCTACAAGCAAATGAATTATGGGATGTGCACAGTTTTTCACAGGACTGTAAAAGCTTTTTTCACATGATCGTACACAAGCATAAACATTAAAGTATAGAAACTTTCAAGTAGGGTTAAAATATTTGCCTTAAGGTATGACCACAACTTTGACAATTTGGATAAATAGTTGAAAATAAATATATGTCATATAAATTTCAATATAATCAAAACAAGCTGCGGTTTCATTTTAACCAAATAAAAAGAGTGGAAATGACATTTAAAATATCTCGTGCCATGTTGGTACCTCAGTGTCTGGTACTTGAATGACAGTACATATCCTTGTCTGCATATAGATTAGTTTTGGGTTATGTTTCCTTAGTGTTTATACTAAGTGGGGCCCCATGTGCTATATGAAAATAAGAGGGACAGCAAGAAAGAGCTGTGATAGATGAAAGGAAAGGGCAAATGCCAAAGCATCATTCTATTAGACAGGGACAAAGGACACAATTTTATGCTGAACACAGCTGGCAAACGATGACTGTGTCCTCACCTTTGATGTGCAGCCGCTGTCTGTTTTGCACCCTTGCCCATAAGATCTGATACAGTCATAAAAATACAGGCTGCTTCGACACACAACTCACACTGTCTGTCCTAATTTTTGACATACTTAAAATCAAAAACTGAAAAATGTAAAAGATGAAAGGGAAAGATGAAAAAGTGTTGTAACCGCATTTAAGAGAATATAAACCAGAAAAGATGATAAAAATAAATAAAGGAAACTGCATACAAGCCTAAAAAAGGTTGCAATACACAAGAACTACAAGAATTTCTATTAATGAGGTGATCCTTTTCATGTCTGTTTCAAACAAAAAGAAGTTTGGCTACGTTTTCACGTGCCTGTGATAATTTGTAGCCCAGCTAAGACATCACGCTCCCAATTAATATTATACAGCATTATGTGAATTTTGGAGGCTTTGAGCGTAAGAGATAAGTAACATGCCCGAGAAAAAATGTATAAACGACCAAATTCTTTCTGAATAATAGAAATCCAATTTTCCCAGTGGGCCAAATGAGCAACTGAGTTGTGTTGTTGGCTTCACCAATAAACTGAACACAGATGTGCTCAGTGTTAATGTCATGTCTTTATTTAAAAAAAAAGAAAAAAGGGAGAATTAAATCAATTACCCATCCCTGGATTACCGTAGATTTCTCCGGGAGTGTTTAATCGAAAGGAAAAGCAAAATCACCTTGATACACAACAACATTTTTAAAGAAATTCTAATGATGCCCTTAGTGCAAATATGAGCCACACCTGAAGGGTGGTTCATAGATGTTACTTACCTCTGGCTGTTCTGAACACGAACCTGGAGCAGAGTGATCTGTAGAGGAAGAAACATGGAGGACATGCTGAGTCCAGGAAAAACAACAGACGCCAGCTGAGCCAGAAAAAGAGGATCTTCTGGTCCTATGGAGTAACTAGCTAACAGCATATTCTCCTTCATAATTTTATGTCCGCATGGCAACCTGTTCTGTGAACAGTCTATATTTAAGACATATTTTAAACAGACTGAAAGCTAATATTCGGATTACTGCTCATGTGTAACTTGGTGAATGTGTAAATCAAATAGTGCTTCCAGACACACAAAAGTAAACAAAGATTTTAGAAAGACTTTATTGCACCACACTGAATATGAAGCTACTTGCCTCTCCCCTATGTAATAAAACCTCAAATACAGCATCAATGGCTGATACTCAGTTGACAGTTCCAAGTAAAAGATTTGGAAAAACCACAGTTGCCATCTGCTTTAAATACACAACATTGCTAAAAATGCTAATGAAAAAGTCCCAACATAATGCAAAAACAAATCTGACATTCACATTCTGTCTTACAAATTTAAAGTGAACCTACTATACCTTTGTTATTTTCTGTCAATTATATAATGTTGGACATTCATTTCCAAAGTTTTAAATAATGAGGTCCATGTATGCACAAGTAAACCTTGTAAGGCTTCAAACTACTTTAAACGCTATATTTCAGACATTGTTTCCTAAACTTGGCTCTCTCTGATGTCACTGAAAGCGGATATGCCTAATACGTCCATCTCAGTCGCACAGCCTAGAGTATGAACACAGCAGCCCCACCCTCTTTTATTTGTGTGATTAGTTGACTCGATGTTTAAACCTTGCTGCCCTTGCTAATCAGCACCAGTTTAGCTAGTACTAAACATATTCATGTACAAAGGCAGGTAAAGCCTCAGAGGTGTTACGTACAGTGGCACTGAGAGGCCAAACGGATTGCAACTTAAGAAAACACCAGCAATAAGAAAAACGCTGCAAAAGCACACAAAAACCAAAGGAAATAGGAAAAACGAAAACAGAAACAGGAAAAAACAGATTTCCAAAAGCGCAAGGGAAGTGTTTCTGGGGAGACAATAACCCGACGGACCAGTTGCAGGAACCAAAATATGCTAAGAATTGCGCTGGGAGACACTTAAATGAAGTGGAGGATCTATCGGTTTTATGAGGAAAGAAAAAATGAGAGGTAAGTGTGTTAGCCTGCCATTAGCCTAAAAATCCATCATCAGTATTATATCAATCATGATAAAACACGCCTACCACGTTTTGGGTTCCTGCAACTGGTCCGTCGGGTTATTGTCTCCCCAGAAACACTTCCCTTGTGTTTTTTCCTATTTCTTTTTTCGTTTTTCTTGTTTCCGTTGTTGTTTTTCCTGTTTCTGTTTTGGTTTTTCCTATTTCCGTTGTGTTTTGTGCTTTTCTTATTGCTGGTGTTTTCTTAAGTTGCAGTCCGTTTGGCCTCTCAGGGCCACTGTAGAGTTAGGACACCACTGGCATCCCTGACAGCTAGCTTCACCTCCCTTTCTTACTGGACACTAGCATGAAAGTAACCAAGGCTACTGTTGCTAGCACTGCTAACATTAGCTCAGCTGTACAAACTAATCTGACACTGTGTGTATTTGCATCATCATACGTGGTGCGAAGTGCTATGCAATTTAGCAACATTTGAAACCCTATGTGCTGGGGTTTTCTTCCTGTTAAAACCGTGTTTTTCCTTCCCACAGTTACCAAGTTGTCTGACTGTTTGGGTTTTCTTTCTGATATTGTAAGGTTTTACCCTACAATGCAAAGCACCTTCAGGCAACTGCTGTTATGAATATAAATTAAATAGAATTAAACTGAATGAGATCAATAATGAGGCAATTAAGGGTTTCATGTAGCTCCTAAAATGTACACAAAATATTTGTTTGGCCAATTTTGATCTTTGTACATTTAACATGTGTGCTTTAAAATGTTTTCTTTAGATTTTCTGTCTTTTAGACTAGTTGACTAGCCTATTTTTTCCACCAGCAAATTAGTCAGAAGGCGGCCTTAAAGAAAGAGAGAACATAAAACAGCTTTTATTTGACAGTGAGTTAAATGTGATGGTGTGCAAAAAGACCCGGTATCATGTAAATAAGAATTATTTTGAATTGTAAATCATAAAAAGCCCACAAATAAAAACATGGAAATCGCCATATCAGGGAACCACGGACTCTTTTCCCCTTGGACGCCTACTACTGTCATAATTCAGGCCTCCTTCTGGAACCGAATGACTTTCTCCCTGTACAGCTTAGTAGGGCTATTATTGGAAAAACCCGGAACCTATTTTACTGATTGTCAAAGCACGTCTTTATAAATATATACTGAGTTGCCAAATCTTGCCATTAAGGATACAGGAGAGGTCATCAGATGTTGTTTTTTTAGGTTAAAGAGTTAATGTGAACCTTGTAATATTAGATTTTTGTTCTGCTAAGGGAATTAGAATCTTAGAAACAAAGGAAATAATTTAAAAAAAAACCCTTTTTCCTTTGTCTTGTGTCTCTGCCTTCTTGTAAGTCAGACCTCAAGTACCGTCTCAACTCTGTACTGTCTCTTAAGGTCCAGGATTAAACGGCCACACGCTAGCTTCACCAGCACACACCACTGTTTTCACCTCCTGTTTATAACTTACTCACTCAGCGGTCAGTCAGCTCTGGTTCAGCCCTTTGAGACTCAGTTTTTGACCCTTTGACACACAGACCAAAAAACCAGAAGGCTCAGACTCGTCTTTAACAGTTACTCACAAATTCTGCTGCTCAGTGATGCAGATCTGGAGCCAGCTGATCATTTAAATAGAATGACTTTGCATTAAGTTTGATTACTGTTAGCTGATATTTTAACAGGTGCAAATAAAAGCTTGTAAATCAAAAACCGGTGTTCACTATGTCATTGCACGGCACGTAATATCCCGAGGCGAAATACTTACATCATATTTCTGTCTCATCAGTGTCTTGGTGAAGTCAAACTTCTCAGCCTCCAGCATCCACAGCCACTGATAGAGCTCATTGGCCTTCTCCCTTTTAATCAAAACCAGGAGGAATATAAAAAGTGAAAACCTAAAGGCCAAAAGGCTCAAACTGTAATGGGAGGTAGATGAGAGTTTATGCACCGCCAAATCACCTGCAGCAGACTTGAAATGTGGATTTAGGTGTTTGAGCAGAACTGTGAACAGTAGTGTCCTTACTTCAGTTTGTCCTCGTTGAGACGCTCGACGTTGAGAGGTTTCTTCCTCTCCGCCAGGATCTTTCTTTTCTTCTCTCTCTCCGTTTGCTTCTTCGCTCCCCGCTTTCCGTCTTGCTGTATGTGAGATTTAATGAACGTGTAAAATAAGGAAGAGACCGCATTTACATAATAAACAGGCAAACTGTGAAGCTGATCATATTTCCTATTGCTTTGAATGCAAATGTGTGGGCGTCTGTGATCACTCACCCTCTGCTGGAAGCCAGAGTACTGCTGAGTCATGTTTGTGAGAGCCTTCTTCTTCTTGGCGTCCTCGTCCTGCTTCCTGCGGGCCTCTTCCTGTTCCTTCCTCTCCTTTTCTTCCTGTGACACGGATTAAAGAACAGAAAAGAGAAAATGAAACCATCTGTCCACTTGTCTTTCCAGCCACTAAAACAGGACTGAAGATAGCATCCTCCAAACGTTCTGACATCCTCTGATGTCATAAAAAAGAATGTAGCGTCCATTGTCGTTCATTCTCAAAAAGTTCAGAATATTGTTTTTATGTGAGCAAGGCTATTCTATTGTGCAATCAAGGTTATTTTGCACATAAGATTAACGTCTATGTGCAAAATACATAAATAATATTTTTACTGCCACTTGGGGGCAGCAGAAACAAGCTGTGAATCCATCACTGACATACCGGTGGTCTCATGTTTTAAGATAAGTTAGAGCACTAAAATAAATTTTCCTACTTAAATTCCAAGCATTCACTTGGAGATGTGTTTGTGACCATAGCAAGTTTAACACTAGTCTAATACTTCTGTACAATTCTGGCTCCTCTTAAGAGAAATATTTGGCTCTACACTTGCTAACAACGCCTTTCTCCTGTGGCTGAAAATGAGGCTTTATAAAGAATCAGTGAGTCAAATATCATCATTTGACCCATTGTTATTATTAAAAATGTTGAGGGCAGGTTTAAAGTAAAAAAAGAAATTGTAAAATGGAAAGCAAATATCCGAGTGCAAAGACTTTGTGTTTATCCCAGTTTATGGAATCTGATTCAAACGTAAATTTTCACTAGCCATTAAAAAGCCAGTGCGTAACATTACATGAAAACAGAGGACAAACAGATCCAGGATGGTTCTTTTTTTTGTTGTTAATTAGGCTTTTGCAGACTGTACTCTAATTCTGTTCAGGAACGTGAGTAAAACCACAGCGTGTCAGCTCCTGGAGGCAGGACACTCTTCGTTTATTGCAAACATTATCACATTCTGAAAAAAGGCAGAGGCAACTGCATCTAGAAACTCACAGCAAGCCGATTCTGCCGCTCCTTCTCATGCTCGGTTCTGATCCTCTGTTGCTCAGCTCTCTCAGCACGACGCTTCTCCTAATCATCCATGCCCACACGCAAACACAACCACACACACGCACACATAAACAGAGTGTAATTGTTTGCTGGGTGGTGCATCACTGTAGCGATCTGGCACGCTTTCCTGGAATACTTACAATCCTGTTAACGAGAGCGATGAGCTCCTCCTCGTCCTTCTTTCTCTGAATGAAGTGGGCCTCGATCAGAGATTGCAGCTCAGTCAGATCCTTCTCCTGACGCTTCCTGTGGATATCCTGCAGTCACGTATAGATGTTTTTAGTTCTCTACTGAGCACGACTCGTATGCATATCATCTCCAGTACTGGCTTCACGCTAAGATCTACATTTTGGCAAGGAAAACAGGCAGACACCCACTAGTACAGTCCTCAAACATGCAGCACACATGAAACTTGATGATTATATACACTAACTGATCCCTTTATTACTGCATGTTAATACAAATCTCTAATCACCCAATAACTTAGCACATGGCAGCAACTCAGTGGTTTCAGGCATATAGGCATGATCGAGAAGTTCAAAGTTAGTGTCAAGTAAGGTGTTTAAAGTGACTTTGGATGTGGCATGGTTGTTATAGTATTTTGGAAATCTGCTGAGATATTCCCACACAAACATCTCTAAGGTTTAGAGAAAATACTCGGAAAATAGAAAACATCCAGTGAGCAGCGATTCTTTGGGTGAAAATGCCAGAGGTCAGAGGACAATGGACACGATCCTTCCTTCAGGAACTCAAATAATCCCTTGTTACAATAAAGGTATTCAAAAAAAGCATCTGTGAACACACAACAAATTTAACCTTGAAGGAAATGACAGCAATACAGCAGCAGAAGACCACACCTGGCGTCATTTAAGAACAGGAACCAGGCTATCATTCACAGAAGTTGAAGAATAGAAGATTGGAAAAAGGTTGCCTGGTCTGATGAGTCTTGATTTCTGCTGTGATGCTCAAATGGTCGAGTCTGAAATTGTTGCATAGGCAACATACCAATATGGATCCATTTTGTCTTGTTGTGCATCAGCGGTTCAGGCTCCCACAGTGTGGGGGCACACTTTAGGCATCTTAATAGCAACTGAGCATCATTTAAACACCACAGCCTACCTGAGTGTTGTTGCTGACTGTGTCCAACCCTCTATAACCACAGTGTACCCATCTTCTGATAACTGCACTATGTCACAAAGTTCATTTGCTAGTTTAGTCATCCTAAACTACTTTCTTGAACATGACAATGAGTTCACTGTATTCAAATAGTCTTCACAGTCACCAGATCTCAATCCATTAGAGCACCTCTGGGATGTGGCAGAACAGGAGATTGATATGATTGGCGAGCAGCCGAGAACTCTGCAGCATCTGTGTGATGCTGTCATGTCGATATGGACCAAAATCTCAGAGGAAGGATTCCAGCATCTTGTTGAATCTATGCCACCAAGATTAAAGGCAGTTTTGAAGGTAAAAGCGGGTCCAACATGGTACTAGTAAGGTCACCTAATAAAGTGGCTGCTGAGTGTATCTTTTTAACTGAAGAGGACCAGTACTTATAACCAAAGCTTTATCAAGAGCTGTGCTTCACACCCACTTGTAGATACATGCAAAAGTCAGATAAGCCTTTGATTATGTCTTTTTAAGTGTGAGTCCACCTACTCATTTTTTAATTAGAAATTAATAATTTTCTATGTTGCCAAAAAAAGAGATGTATTCTAAATTCATATTTAGAAATAGCGCTGCTCTCCCCATCTAACTCCAAGGCAAGCCATGTTGAAAAATGCCACACTGTTTCTTTAAATTGGCTTCAGTCACTCACATCAAAGTCGACTTTTTCTCCCTCAGGTATCTTTGGCACAGTCAGCGGTGGTGCAAACAGCCTGAAATATAACATCTCTGTGTTACAATGAGAGGAACTTTGAACAACCTTATTGCAAGTTGGATAAACTGATTAAAATTCAAATAACAAAAAAAAACCAAAACCCAGCCCTACTTTGGTTTAGGTTTGGATTCATCTGTCATATCTGCAACAGGGAAAATAATAATATATTATGGGTGTATATGTGTGTATCCAGTGTCCTAAAAATCTTTATTTTATTGGATTTTTCCATTATTTTAGCAGTGATGGAGAGCATCTGTGGATTTTTTATTTCCTTTTGTTTGGTTATCAAAGGCGGGTTGAAGACACCAGACATTTTTGGTAAACTAGAGCAGTGATCAAGCTATTTTCACAAGGCCTTATCAGCATGTAAAAGTACCTTCATCCACAGCTGGAGACTCGGCTGCAAAAGGACAAAGGAAAATGTTAGTGCATCAGCAGGTGGAATGCAAATGGATTTCCTTTTATTATTTCCAAACTCCATTTCACTCAGCTCTGATATTTACCCTGTGTCTATTGATATGAAAATCTTTCTTGCATGTCAGGGTCGGAAATGGAGTCTAAATCGTTTCTGTATAACGTGTCAAACTAGAGTTGCTCTAAGTACTCTCGGGGTTGCAAGCCATGAGCCTTAGTTTACCTTGAAACAGTGGAGGCATCTCTTTGATAAATGTGTATCAACCATAAGGGCCAAAATAAAATTGGACGATATTGAGATATTTACGCTGCAAATGAATGCCTCGGTACGGGAGAAAATCAAAACAATTGGATTTTATTACCTGACAAAGATGCGCACAAAAACAACTGATATAGTCTTGTATATGCACCCGTATACATTACCGTCTTCTGCAGGCTCTTGGCGAGGGCAAGGCGAGGAGACAGTAGATGAGGATTGCAGGAAATGGAAAACAACTTATCAGTTAAGACTGCTCGTAGATGGACAAGGCGCTGAACACATTTGTTATGTTTATTAAATAATAGAACGCTAAAGTTAAGGAAAATAACAAGAACAGTTGGTGATGAAACCCTCGCAAGAAGGCCGTAATTTCCTATAAAGCTAAAAGGGAAAAAGAGGTCATTACCTTCAGCTGTTGAAACCGGGGGTTCTGAGGGGTGAGAGTAATGAAAATATGATTAGATGCTGTCACTCTTTAATCGATGCAATGCATTTTCCTTCTTAAAACAATCAAGACATGTTTGCCGTGGGATAAACACGACTAAATGAATGTCAAACATGTGTGATCTGAAATGAAAATTGAATTTCAACACCCAGAGCTCTTCTTGCATTGCACGCAGTCGCTTTTGTCTGAGTAGGTGTCTCTATTTTTTTTTCTTTTTTCAAAGATCCTGGCAAATAAATCTGCCAAACTCAGCAGGCAACTCCTGGGGAGCCAAACATATAATTAGCAAGTACTGAACATAGGAACGTTTATAATGATTTAGTTAAGGAGGTAATGATGAAGTGAATGAAGTATCGTTTCAATTTGATGTGGAAACGGGAGAGACGATGTTAAAAATCATTTTTTTTATATTTCAGTGATCTCATCTGATGTTTAGAATGGTGCAAGTTTATGAAATTAATCATAATTTTTCTCCATAAATATTGTTACAATCGAGGAAAAACATTTCTTCACAATGGAGGAGAAAAAAATGTACAAAGAAGAATTACCTTCGACTTCAGGAACAGCTTCTTCTGCAAAGCAAGAACAGTGAAGTAAACTTATTGAAGTAAACTTCTGTTGCTCTTGGGTGAATACAACAACAACACACAAAAAAGGGCATGATACAACAGAAACAACCACAATAATATCCCACAAGTGTGTAAGTAAAGAAACATGCTTTGTTTACAGACAAAAAAAGTCATACAAACCTTTTTCTTTCAGCGTCTCCATGACTGAGTGAACAAAATATGGATTAGTGGATCAATGAGACTCTTGCAGACAGCTTGCGGCTGGGTTTTGGTCACACTCTGAGCACTGTGATGTTGTCTCTTGGGGATGCACTGAGAAGCAGTGCTGGTGTTTGACATTCATTTTGAGCAAAGCCAAAAACTGAACCCGAGAGCGGTTTGCAACAGGCCAGATATCAAAGCAAAGCCTGAGCACATGTTTTATATATGACTGTTACCAACGCTTATCAGCGCTCCTCTCCTTTACAAAAGTAGCCTCTGAATGCTTCAGTGTAAAAGTTCTCCAAAATGAAAAGTTTGATAAGTAGGGTAGCAGCAATTTCTGTTGGGCATGTACTGTCACAGCTCAGGTACCTTTTGATAGAGCCAGGCTAGCTTTTCTGTTTCCTGTAATTGTGGTTAATGGGAGAAGTTTTGTTAGGGTAAAGAAACCAAGTTTACTTGGTTAAGTTTGAGAAAATATTGTGGTTTGGCTAGCCAGTCTGACATGTGCATATTTGTGCTAACCTGAGCTAGCAGATGCTCCCAAACTCATCAAGCTAGCCAATGCAACCAAATTGTAAACTGTACTATACTACACTCCACACTTTATTAGTTCCACTACTACTGGGTTGGACCTTTTTTGCTTTCCCAATTCTCTTAAGCCTCTGTGGCATAGATTCAGCAAGGTGATGGGGACTTTCCTCAGAATAAGGGTGGATTGTCATGTTATTATTGCCAAATTCCAACCCTATCTAATATCACAGCAGACACAGAGACTCATCAGAATAAGTTTTTACAGTCTTCTGTTTTCCAGTTTTGTAAACCCTTACGATTTATAGCCTGCTGCTGTGCAATTTAGAGATGCTCTTCTGCATACCTTGGTTGTAACGATGATTATTTGAGTTACTGTGATCTGACCATTCTCCTCTGACATCAGAAAGGGATTTTTCTCCCAGAGAACTGCTGCTCAATGGATATTTTCCCTTTTTGGGGCCATGGAGATAGCTTTGTGAGAAACTTTCAGCAGATCAGCAGTTTCTGAAATACTCAGAATCAACGACCATGCCATGTTTAAAGATTCTCAGTTTGAACTGCGTCAAACAGGTCATTTTGACCATCTCTGCATGCCGCAATAAGTTGCTGACACATGATTGGCTGCTTAGATATTTACATTAATGAGCAGATGAGTAGGTGTACCTCTTCAAATGACTGGTGAGTGCAGTTCTTAAAATGAGTCCTTTCCAAAAAAACAGATGTTATGCAACTCATAACTAAGACTAAAGGGGTCTGAAGAAGGGCATATCAAAGGTAGAGAGAAGTTTGCCTTTTTTTCTTCTTTTTAATTTTCTTTCACAGCTGAGCTGGGTTTAGGAGACAAAGTACTTGGTTATGTTTAGAAACAGACTGTGGTTTGGCATGAAACACACCCTTTCAATAACATAACCATGATTTAGAGAGGCTTACTGGAAGAAAACCTTCACTCACATTAACATTATTGCCTGGAAATATGTCACGTGACAAGAGACGCTTAAGCATGGACGTAGGGGTAAGATTACTGTACAAATACAATAAATATATGGGAATCCATCTTATCTGGAAAATAGCTGTTTTGGGGATAGGTGATTTAAAAATGCTGCTGCAGCCACTGAGAAATTAATATAATTAAATGTGAAGCTATTGCATAACATACCATCATTTAAAAAGAGTAAACCTGGTGTATTTTAACAAAGGCCCATGTCGCTACAGGCACGGTGGAGTGAAAGTAGCATATTTAAGTAAACTTTTTCTCTAAAAGTCAAACTGATTAGAAAGAGTCAAATCGGCAACCTGGTTAGTAAACCTGTCAGAAGACTAAAACCCACAGTACACTGTATACATACTGAGATGAACTGTACAGTCCTGAAAATGTCACGGAGACATTTCCAATATAAACTGACAGCTAAACATGAGCTGACACATCGGTGTTGACAGAGAGGTTGTTAACATTCAAAAAGAAAACACACATAGCCAGCTTGCTATGGCTTTTTATCCCTGACAGCAGACACTGTAATGGCAACAGACACACCAGAAACAAGATGAAGCACACGCAAAGCCACTCAAGAAGCCTTTACCTTCCTCTTGCTGCGTCTCTGCCTCTGAGCAGACATAATCAGGTCAGCGTATAGAAGCGAGGAATGACATTTTGGTATATAAAGAGCAAATTCTCACAAAACCTTTACTTACCTTCCTCCCTGAAAATGCAGGAAGCAAAGACGTAAACTTTAAAATCAGCTGATTTTGTGTATTTATAGCTGTGTTTCGAGGGCGTAGTGAAGGTACTCACAGAATCTCCTCGATAACTTCTACTTCTAGCTCTTGATCACACATCTTGGATCACAGTTACCTGCATCGGAGAGCAAAACATCAAAAAGTCGCCACACAAATTTAATTTGATACATTTTTACATAAGAAAAGAAGCAGCTGTTGAGACAACACGAAATCATACCCACACGTATCCATCCGGGTCATTAGGGCGTTCACATTTATTTGTACATTTCACAAATTTTCGTGCTGTGATTGCTCTGATTGTTTTCTTGACATCTCATTGCCTGTAATGTTTTCACAAGCCCTCGAGATTTTTTCCCCCTCGAACAGATGGATCAGATCTTTCTTCTTTTCTTCTCCTTTCGGTACTTTTATCATTTGTGCAAACAACTAAACCAAAAATCCACAAAAAAATATTTAAACAAAAAAAAACAACTTGGCTACATGCTGTGAGATTGGAGCAGTTGTAGAATCCGAAACGATTCCACCATGGGCACTGCAGGCAGAGGCCCAGGGCTTTAAACAGCTCCAGGCCTAATCCTCAGCCATTTCCTTTTGGCGCTGATCAAGGCTGCAGTCAGCCGACTAGAGTCTGAAAAGCGCTGAAAATATCAGGCTTGCATGAGTTCTTCGGGGATGCACTGATGTATCTGCAGCCACACATATTGCATTGGCTTTGATACGTACACTCATAAACAGTTTCCCAGGTACTTAAAAGGCTTTGAAGTAGTGCAAGAAATCTCCATCATAACAGGTGCTATTTAGCGTGATGGCAATGCTTAACTTAATATATTTCTTTTAAAAGCAGTTGTATTTGATTTCAGTACAAGCTCGGTTTATTAAGCGGCCATTACCCTCTTTTTGTTTACTTAGAAATCAATTTTCTTGTCATGATCTGTACTACTCAGGCTGAGTGGCTGCTGTTCTGAATTTCGATTTCTAAAGTCTTAGAGGGCAACCTTGATACAGCCATGAGGATGTCATGAAGGTTAAGCTAGACTTGTAACAAAAAGATTGTGTTACAAAATTGTAGCGTGGGGTTTGAAAGAAGTGTGTGTTCACCTAACGCATGAGTGGACTACTGTTTTGAAGGCTGACGCTTGAGATTTCAGATGTAGCCATCTTGGCACATCTGTCATTCACTGTAATATTAAAAAAAATGTATTCAGAATAGAAACAAAAGCCAAAAGCTGGGCAAGGTAGAGGGGTGGATCTGATTCTAGTGATGAAGCCCATTAATTCACTAAGAAAACAGTGAATTAACTGACTTCTATTTGGAACCACAAAAGTTCCCCCTCAATGGCCATTAGAATAAATGCAAGTCTAAGGCACTTCTGCATTGTTTTTACATTTTATACCTGGAAATTATACATGGTTTAAAATCTAAATTCATATTTGAATTGTTTAAAAACTGATCATTAAATTGCCTCTTTTATTGTGTTACACCAAAGTTTTGAAGTATTTAATGTATTATGGCATTTTCATGGAAGCAGTAAGAATGAACATAATTTTTCACAGAACTGTATCCAGCCCCTGAAAACGTTCTTATTCACAACTTTATAGATAATCAGATCATAGGTCAAGACATCTCAAGCTCCTCTCTTTTAATTTTTCATTGTTTCTTTCACAGGAACAGGATATAGTTTTGTAAATACCTCCCTCTGTAAAAACACAACCTTTATTTTGATAAAGAGCACAAACAAATGTATTTCTGATGTCTTTATCTGTTTCTCGTGGAGGTCCTTCATGAAAGTAATCATTGGTGTATCCCTTTGAAATCAGAGAAAGCTACCTAACATTAAGAAAATGAAATCATACATAGAGTAAAATTCACATAGGAACACGGTCGATCCAGCTTCTGTAACAACACCATCAAAATGTCAGAGTCAAGGTCATGCTGCTCAGAGGAAGGGATTCAATAAGGTTCTTTATATGTAACAGTTACATGTCGGAAATATGGTTGCGCAGAGCACCTCCTGGGGCCGTGTTTTTTTTCCACATGCTTATAAATCACCGAACCGTAAACGCCAATGTCAGTGGGTCAGAATAGAAGGACCGAGGGCGAGGGTCTATTTATAAGAATAACAGAGCAAGCTTTTGAACAGGTGCTGAACAGCTCCTCCAGACAATGGGCTTGGCTCACCTCGCGCATACTCACAGTAAATCAATGAGCTGTGACTCAGGCTATTTTTGCCATTGCAGTTTGGTCAGCTGATTGTTTGGGGAAACATTTTCACAATACCTCTGGGTAGACTCTCTTGCTTTTTAAAGTCATATTTGGTAACAGATATTTGTTCTCATGCACACGTTGAATGGATGATGAAATAAAATTAGCTCCACATCCCCAGTTCCACCCTCGCTCCCACTGCCTGGATGCCGTCCTGACCAGCTGCACATTCAATCTCTGCACGCCATATTTACACCTTCTGTATATGGTTACTGCCCCAAATGTATGCTTCTGTTTAAATTCTGCTACATATGTGCTCAAATTCACACATCGCGGCGCCTGTGGAGGCCCCAGTGTGGTTACTTGTGGCACTAAACTCAGCAGCTGACGTCAAAGGGCCAATGCAAAGGAAGAAAAAGTGAGCGAGACCAAGAAAGGTAGAGAAAGCTGAAATGAAAGAAGGCCATCTGGTTGAAGAATAATACTAACTGGAAACCCAGAAAGAATTCACAATGTATGAGAGCTGTCATGGCCGGGTATTAAATGTGTATTTGCTTTAATGAATGCGGTCAGTCCCCGTCTGGCTGAAACTGTGGAACAACAGAGAGTCTGACAGCGGCAAGAATGTTGCGGGTGCTGGTTTCAGCATTAGGCAGCATTAAGTTAAAGCCAAAAGCATGCAACCAACTCCAAAGTCTCAGGAGCGAGCTTAGCACCTTCCACAGCGTGATATACACAGTTTGGATTAGAATACAGAAAAAAAAGAAGAAGTCATCATAAAAATGGCCAAGCCAGTTTGATCCATTACATCTCACTACGTATGAGTAACAGGTAATCGTTTGATCATGCTGATGGGTTTTACGTATCTAACTCAGGAGCGCTTTAATTGCAATTATTGGCCTTTTTGACATCATGCACCCTGAGATGATGGCCATGCTCAACTCTTACCTCCTATATATTCCTTGAAGAAAAAATGGGATTAGCCACAAGTACTGGTCTTATTCTTCAGCTGCCAGACAAAGACAAGTTCAATCATCTGCCTCCCAACCCACAGCGCACACTTAATACAGCCCTGTTTGTCATGTGACCACATATCTTTTCTATGACTGGTCAGGATGGTCAGTTCTATTGTTGGAGGCAGACAGATGAGTTATACCTGGACAGACATGCTGCCTTTGAGTGCTCACCGTAATCCGCTACACATGATGGGAGAAATTGGAAATACTTTTCACTTTAGAGTCATTTTAAAGAGGGCTGTCAGAACGTCATGGTTTTAGTTCCTTTAGAGAAATGACACCACAAAGCTGTGCTCTGCTGGAGTGGAAGTACAATTGCCTTCAAACTTGTACCTTCAATTACACCTCAGCCAAATAATTTCACACAGAAACATGTTTTTGCGATTTTGACCATCGTCAAACTCATTATATTCAACTTTTTCCAAGATTGCCTATTATATATTAATTTTAAGGACAGGATTTCTAGGCATAGCCAGGTGGAGGTGTGTTTCCACTTTGGTGGAGGCCTTATCCAGTGAGCGGCAGTTCTGCTGTAGAAAATGCCTTGAGCAGATACAGGAGATGAGAGGAGAATGACCAGACTTCCCCCAGCTGCTGGGAATTTGGCATAAATAACACAAATCCATGGACCTTTTATTAATACCCTTTCATTCTGAAAGCAAACAGGGTCCAACCTAGTACTAGCAAGGTACTAGATTAGGGGTGGGCAACTCCAGGCCTCGAGGGCCAGTGTCCTGCAGGTTTTAGATGTGTCCTTGATCCAACACAGCTGATTCAAATGGCTAAATTACTTCCTCAACATGTCTTGCAGTTCTCTAGAGACCTGGCACTGAACTAATCATCTGATTCAGGTGTATTGACCCAGGGTGATATCTAAAACCTGCAGGACACCGGCCCTCGAGGCCTGGAGTTGCCCACCCCTTTACCAGATCGATCCTTTTGTAGCGAGTACTAGCAAAGCATGGGTCCATCCAGTGGTGGTGGTGTCATGGTGTGAGGGTATTTTCTTGGGCTGTTTCATGCCAATTTAATTCAATTACATTTTATTTATGTAGTGCCAAATCACAACAGTTGAGGCTGTTTATATTGTAAAGACCCTAAAATAATAGAGATAAAAACCCCAACAATCAGATTACCTCCTGTGAGGAAGTACTTGGCAAGAGTGGGGAGGAAGAAATTATATTATATATGGTTATAACACCAGATATTGTTGCTGACCATATCTGTGCCTTTATGACCAATTTAGTACCAATTCTCTGATGGCTGCTTCCAGCAGGACATTGCACCATGTCACAAAGCTCACATCATCTCAAACTGGTTTCTTGAACATAATAATGAGTTCACTGTACTCAAATGTCCTCCACTGTGTTCAGTTCTCAACCCAGTGGAGCACCTTTAGGATGTGGTGGAACAAGAGATTCAGAATACAAGAAACAAAGGCAGTTGTGAAGGCAAATGGCAGTCCAGCCTGGTACTACTATAGAGAAGCATCTGGTGAGTGTATTAAGTGAAGGTGTGAAAGGAAACTCAACAATGTGGAATACCTCAATGTATTTATTGCTGTTGTTGAGTCAAGGTTACAATGTTCAACACATTCCTCCACTTGGAAACTGCCTGCTTGTATGACATTTGGAGAGAGACTACAGATAATGTATTCTGCATAGGCTTAGCACTACACAAGGAACAAGTGTCTGGTTAAACATGGAAATTTAAAAAGTGGACACAAGGCTGTAGAAAACAAAAAAAACACAACATTATGAAACCATTACATTAAAAAAAATACAAAAACGTCACATTTTATCATGCTTAAAAATATTTTGGTCCAGCTCCCCTGCTCTTTTCAGGAGCCATGGAATGTGATTGTCAGATTGTTGAGCAGTAACACCGATCAATTTAATGCCCTGACAAACAGTTCATATTCTTATAAGCTTGTGCTGCGCGAAAACGTGAAAAATCACAAGTCAAAATCATGCTGAGCTGCTAGGAGGCTTTAAAGTACTGTACCTCGGCTGTCCTAAATGCTGTCATTGCAATCATAAGGCCAGAAGTTTTAGATAGTGGTAAATATCCTTGTTACTATGACCTTGCTATATGTTTAGGCACCCTGATTTTACTTTGTATGCCCTCAATATGAAAAGTATTGCTGAGCATAAGAGTGTGCATAGAGGCAAAAAAGAAGTTAAAGGCAGATTAAAAAAACATGTCCTACATCATAAAACTTTAAGGCAGCAAAGGCACCACGTGCAACTGCTTTTAAGAGGAATGTCTGAAGATGTTTTAAAGTGTTCGAAAGCTAGAAAGAACTCAAACCCCCCCCCAAAAAACATTAAAACATAAATTAAAAAAAACAAATGACATGAAAGGACAATAAATGTCAAAGTGGCCTTCTGAATATCCAACACTCCTGTCACCTTCAAAATCAACTGCCTGTTGGTGAATGAATAAAAAAAGCAAAAAATACCTTTTGTTATAAGTATACAGATGTTATATATGATACAGTATGATAGGTCATAGTCAAAACATCACATGTGCTAGCATATATTACTCAGACCATTGCTGCACTATTGGTAAGACAATAAAAGTGAAATAAGCTAAACTCTAGAAGTGCTTATATTTCTATCCTGAACAGGTGAACGTTGAATAATATAGCATTGTGTGAAGCTTTTGCTTTAAATATAAATAAAAAAAGAGAGAGATGGAAAATATTCTGAGGGAGAGAAGTGATATCGCCCATCTCTTTGGAATGTGGAAACTTTTGAACTCATCCACTCAGCACGGAGTACGAGACATAAATCTTAATTCTATTAGTTTTATTGTCTTCCTGGCAGGATTTTATGAAGTAATTAGTGATTTTAAATGTCCAAATTTCACAGCATTTTGTTGTTATCATACTTTATTTTTTTTAATTTTTTAGAAAGCAGAAATTATTGTGCAAAGGCACTATACGTGGTAAGCCTATAACAATATGCTGATGCTGTTTCGGTACAGTGCTCGGACAGTGTCTGTCCTGTCCCTGCGTGCTCTTGGGGGTCCCTCCTGGGGGTGTGGCATTTGGTTCTTAAGGAAAAGTCAAAGAAGATTCTTGGATTGTCGTGGTCCCCAGCTTTAGTGGCTCCTTCATGACATTAGTGTCCCATACCTATCGAAAGACACAAAAACGAGTACATCAGTGGCCTGACTCCAAGTCCATATTCCCACACAGGTCTGTGTTAAACCAAGCAGTGAGGTGTTTAAATTTGGCTCCACAGAAGTCTGAGTTTATTGGACTTGTTTCGACTTCAAAACAAGGAGTCAAAATAGTTTTGCTAATTTTCCATATGGTACTGTGGAAAAGTCTTGACTCACCACTCGTCTTTATATTTTGATTACAAGGAGCAAGACTTTGGTGAAATATTGTTGGTTTTGAGCAAGAGTTCTTCAAGTTTCCCGAAGGTCTTTTATATTTTTTAAAAGACCACCCCTTGTAACAGAGAAATTAACTTTTTTGTTTGTTAAGCTACCTAACGCTGACCTATGAATCATTTAAGTTAAATGGAATAACAGACAGCTTAGAACCAATTTTAAAGAGTAAGTCGTGCCCTTAAGAAACAGGAAACAATCCAAGCAAAGACCTAACGCAGGATCTGAAAGATGGCCTTTCTTTGAATCCATCTACTGATCACTAATATCAGAAATGCTCCCAGTGGAAAGAAGTCATGTCAAGTCATGACACAGAGGTACTTCAAATTACATGAGAACTGGTGTCAAAATCAGTGGCAAGTGAACCTATGGAGCGATGATTACAAATTATATTTTTGGTTCAAGTCGTCATCAAAATATATATGAACAGCAGTGAGTACACACACATCTGTAATGATTTGGGGAATGCATTTCAGCCAGTGGTGTTGGGGTCTTGTCAAAATTGAGGGAATTATGAATGCAGCAAAATACCTTCCATCATGCAACAGAACGAGGAAAGTGTCTGATTGGCAACAGCTTCTTTTTTCACTGTGACAATGATGCCAAACACACTCACAGTCCACTACAAAGATATCGGGATAGAAAAACACACACCAGAAAACTATCAGTCATGGATTGTCCTCCCCAGAGCCCAGATCTCAACATTACTGACACAATGTGGGATTGTCCTGACAGAAAACGATGCAAAAGGCAGTAAACATCCAGAGAAGAGCTTTGAATGTCCCCTCAACAAGCCTGGAGAATTACTCCTTAAGAGATGACAAAAACTAAGAGTACAGATTGTGTTGAAGAATAATGGTGACTTTCACACTCATGAGGATTGTACACAATCTGTTTTTGCCTTATATGCTGTACTTCAATGTTTCAATAAAACACTGCACCTATTTTCCATTTTTCTATCAAACTATAAAGAAATGAGGAGTGGCTTGAGATTTTTGCATAGTATTGTATTTCTAGGAACATGATTGTTGTCGTACTAATTTTCAATTCAACTTTTCATTTAACACCATCATCAGGTCAAAACGTTCAGTTTCTCCAGTTAACCACCAAATTATTGCAGATGTTTTTTTCTCTCAGCCCAGCAATCATGCTAACAGGTTTACTGACACGACTGTTTGGCTCAAAGCATTGTTGTTTTTAAGCACTTAGTAAGTACTTATTTTTGTTCCCTGTTTCATAGTTCAATCCAACATCTAAAACAAGCCACATAATAATATTAACAGAGGTCCTAATGCCATTCAAGACCCTTGGTTACTTCTGATTTATTAAAAAAAGTCGAATACAAGCAATTCTTTTGAATATTTCTGCATTGTTGAAGGACAGCAGATAAGTTGTGCACCCTGATTCATAAACTGCTACACTCAGTAAGCATTGAATTCTACCTATTTTCAAGTGTCTACATAATTTTGGAAACTCTCCAAGCATGTGGAGAGCGGGTGGGCTGTAAACTTCCACGCTGTCCACTCTGGTGTCAGATGTCTGTACGGTGTGACAGCCAACTCTTAGTAAGAAATAAAAAATAAATAAATAAATAAATAAAAAAAAAAAAAG